TTATATTCCAACCCAACATATATTGTACTATTAATGTATTTTAATAACAATTTCAATGCTGACTAGTGTTCTATACCTGGATTGGACATAAAACGACTAAGAAGAGAAATAGCATATGATAAGTCAGGCCTGCTGTTGATCATTGCGTACATAACAGACTCTATAACATTAGCATAAGGTATCTTTTCCATTCTAATTACTTTAGCATTAGACTTAGGGCACTGAGTCTTACTAAGCATAAAGTGGCTAGCTAAAGGCATGGAAACCATCTTAGAATCAGAAGTTCCAAACTTGGAAACCAGTTTCAATAAGTAGGAGGACTGCTGAAGTTTCAATTCACAGCCCTCCCTGTTTTTGTCAATCACTATCCCTATGATCCTTTTAACATTTCCTAGGTCCTTCATATTAAATTCAGAATTCAACCTTGACTTTAAATCAGTTATCCTAGATTTTGATTTACTAATTAACAACATGTCATCCACATAAAGGAGCAAGTATACAAACATATCAGCATTCAAATCATAGTGAAAGCAACTATCATATTCACTCCTATTGAATCCAATACTAGTTATAAAGGTATCAAACCTTTTATACCATTGTCTAGGGGCTTGCTTAAGCCCATATAAAGACTTATGCAAAAAACACACATGATCAAGGAAGTTTCTGTCAACAAAACCCACAGGCTGTTTTATGAAGATCTTTTCTTCTAAGTTACCATGAAAGAATGCAGTTTTTACATCTAACTTCTCTAGTTCGAAATTAAGATGTGTAACTATTGATAACTAATCCTAACAGTCTTATATTTGACTACAAGGGAAAAGATTTCATTGAAATCAATCTCTTCCCTTTGTGTGTAGCCCTTTGCTACAAGTCTAGCTTTCAATCTAGGCATATCAGAAGGACTCATACCTTCATTTACCTTATATAACCACCTACAATCGATTAGTCTCTGATTTTTAGGATAGGGTACCAGGGACTAGGTCCCATTTACCTTCAAGGAGTGCATCTCCTCTTCCATGACAGCTTGTCATTTATCTCTATCTATGGACTATATAGCTTCATCATAGCTATCTAGTTTAGATCTTTGAATTTCAGCACCTGTAACCAAAGCAGTATAGATCAAGTCAGCATATGAATACTTGGCAGGTGGTCTAATTTCTCTTCTGGTCCTATCCCTGGTTAGTTGGTATTGGAACAGTGAATCATGCTGGGGCAGTTCTGGATTTTTTGTTGGATCATCCTTTAGCTCATGCTCCAAATCTGGTGTTGCAGGTATTTCTTCTTGATTTTCCAGTTCAGGTTGAACTCTGACCTACTCTACCTTAATTTGTGTCCTTTGGTGTTAGTCCTAACTAATGCCATCACTGGTTGAAGCACCTGCAGAATTGTTAGGAGTTCTACAAGGAAACAAATTTTCATTAAAAATTACATCCTTGCTAATAACAATTTTGACCCCTAGTGCACTTCTTTCCCACAGCCTATACCCTTTAGTTCCCTCTTGTTATCTTAGGAATACATATTTTAAAGACCTAGGTTCTAGATTTCCCTCACTAGTGTGTGCATAAGATGACCTAGGTTGGGCTTCCTATTGGACCATTTCTCTTATGGGCACATGAAGTTAATAGCACTTGAAGGGCTTCTATTAACTAGATATGCAATAGTGTTAAGAGCCTTTCCCCAAAATGATTTTGGCAAACCTGATGTAAACGATAAACTCTTAACCCTTTCTAACAAAGTCTTGTTTATTCTCTTGGCCACTCCATTTTGCAATGGAGACTTCCTAACAATCTTATGTCTTAATATCCCTTGGTCACTACAGAACTGATGAAACTCATAATTACAGAATTCTAGTCCATTGTCAGTCCTAAGGGCTTTGACTCTTTTATTTGTCTAGTTTTCTACCAACAGTTTCCAACTTTTAAACCTAGTTAAGGGTCTCATCTTTGGTCTTAAGCAGGTAAACCCATACTTTTCTACTATAGTCATCAACTATAAACAGAAAGTAACTGCTTTCCCCATGTGTTTTGTTTTTTCAAGCCCCCACAAGTTAGCATGGAGATATTCAAGGCAATTAGTGGCAAGGTGAGTCCCTTTCTGGAAACTCACCTTGTGTTGTTTACCCAATATGCAAGTTTCACAAAAATTCAGAGTGTCAATAGAGTCCTTACCAAACATACCTTGGTGGCTTAGAATGTCAAGTCCTTTTTGGCTCATGTGGCCCATTCTGAGGTGTCACTTCTCTGTAATAGTAAGGTTAGTAGTAAACAAAGTAAAGTTAACATAGTTTGAACAGTGATTACCACATAGGATGTAGAGCCCATTGTGTTTAACTCATTTTAGGACCAAGTTTTCATTCTTATACATATTTAGGTAGCCACATTCAGTTTTATAGCAACAACCTGACTCATCTAAGGTTCCTAGGGAGATCATGTTTCTTTTTAATTCTGGTATATATCTCACCCTAGTTAGCTTTACTGATTTACCATCATTTAGACTTAAAACTATATTCCCAATTCCTTGGACCCTGCAAGCATTATTATTGCCCATATACACAGTCTCTAACTCACTAGCTTCAAAATCCTGGAACCAATCTCTATTATGGCTCATGTGAAATGAGCACCCGGAATCCGGCACCCAGAATCCAGCATCCATTCCTCTATGTTTTCAGACCTAAACACAGTCAGAACTTCAAATTCTTCGATATCATTCTTACTAGAGGCTAAATTACTCTATGTGTTATCCTGTTTTTTTTTTTTCTGATCCACTCATAACAATTTTTCTTCAAATGTCCAGTTTTGTTACATCATAAACATTTTCTTGTCTCTCCTTTATCTTATGAGTGTTCTTACCCTTCTTTTTATTCTTAGAACCAGTGTTAAAGTGCGAATTACTCTTAGACTGCCCAGAATCTCCTTTTCCCTTTATAAACAAACAACTGTTTTTTTTTTTTTTTTTAATTTTGAACCCTAAGCTGTAGTTCTCTAGCCTTTAATCCTGATGCAATTAAGTCTAGGCTAGGGACAATTCCAATGTATTGGAGGGCATTCTTAACAACCTGATACTCCTCGGTAAGGGAGTTCAAAAGGATCATAGCTAAGCTTGACTCACTGAGTTCTTGATCAATGTCCTTGAGTACAAGGGTCATCTTCAAGAACTCATCTAAATTTTCTTCTATGGTCCTAGCACTTTCCATTTTGTAAAAAAACAATACACCTTTCAAATAAGCAAGATTATGAGCAGATTGAATTGCATAAAGGGATTCGAGCTTACTCCAGAGAGCAATCGGTGCCTCAACACCATCTATCTTTGGTAATACGTTGTCGACAATATTCATGACAATGAGATTGTATGCTTCCTCATCAACTTCAGCTTTCTTTTTCAGCTTTTCCTCAGGCCATTTGGTCTGATCCTTCTCCAATACAATTGCCACTTTATTATGTGACAAGAACATCTTCATCTTTCTTCCAAGTGTTGAAATCGATTTTATCATCGTACTGTGCGATCTCAACTCGTGTGGTGCTCATTGTGTGAAACAGGTAATAGTGTTTGGTGAACTCCGAAAGAAAGAACCTAAGGATTATCCTTGATTTCTAGTTTCTTCAAGAAATTAGAGACTCAATTTTGTAGATTTCCTAACTCTAGACTGCTCTGAATCTTTAAATCAAGTAACCCCCAAAATTTACCAAACCCTAATTTCAAACAATAAACCCTCAAATCGACAAACCCTAATTAGCTAGCTCTAATACCATTGCTGTGATAAACCTAAGATTTCCAAACTCAAAACACCCAATCTCACCCAATTAATTAAGAAATCAAATGCAAAAGCAAACAAGAAGAGAAGAATTTTAACCGTGGTTCACTTACCCAAATTGGATAAGCTACATCAATGTTGAGCTCTAGTAAACTTTGAGCTCACTACACTAGGGATCAAGATTCGTTACAAATACAATCAGATTCGACTCAATCAATTCGCTCACTCCTTGTAATCCTCTCAAAGACTCACCCGTAACCTTTCCTATATGAGAATACTCACCAAATCCTCACAACCCTCAGGAAACACAACCCTCAAACACGATTACAACAATCGCACCAGATTACAAATCTATGAGAAACAAGAAATCAGAAAACCTAACAAGGAAGAACTCAATTGCAAAAACAGAGAGTATAACAGGCTGTGTAATTAGACTGAATTGCATTCTTTTATACTTGCACTGTTAGAGAATCTTGGCAATTAGATTTTGCAACAATCAATGATCAGGATCAATCTTGGAGCTTTAGAATGAAACGATATCGTTTAAGTTATGGCTAGTGACATCGTTTTGTGCTTCACCATTCAACAGGTTGGTTGATTAGTATCGTGAGGTTTATAAGGTAGAATTGGATTTAGGGAAGAAATTTTGAATGGACACAACTCTTCTATATGCATAGGCATTTAAAGGTGGGTTTGTTGTGAAATGTATATTTATTATTATATTATGATGAGGCATGAGTGGACACACCCCTTCCATATGTTTAGGCATTTAAGGACAAATTTACTAAACACAGACAAGATAAGTAAAGAGAAGAATCCAAGAATCATGTGTTGTGTTTCTTTTTTTTGTGTTTTTTTTTTTTTTTATCATCGACTGTCCGAGCTTATTTATGTACACCTCAACTAATCTCTTGATACTCTGAAATTGTCATCCGGGTAAAAACTCTTGTGGTCACCCCTATTAGTGCATGGGGGATTCGAATTCAGAAGTTTATAGAATTTGTTTACTCTTTTACCATCAAATCACCCCATAGTGGGGTACATGTGTTGTGTTTGGTATATTCATCGTTGTGTTTGGTATATTCATCATAAGCAAAGCTCACGTTCACACATAGAAGATGAAAATCTCGTATGATAATTATTCAGAAAATATGGCTTTTGTTTAGTACAAATAAATTAACCTTGTAATTATCTACTACTGGATTGGATTTTAGTTATATTTTAGTATGATAAGAAAATGCGGGTGCTGTCAAACTCCAGCGTATAGTTCAAGAGCATCATCACTGATGTTTTCGACAAAGTAGGAGAAGAAATCTGAAAACTTGAATGGTTGGTAGAGAAGAGGATGGTCATCGTCAACAAGTTCATCCGGAACTTGGATGGTTGCTCCTTCCTTTGGCATTGCAAACAGCCCGAATGAGTATCTCTCCCTGTTCTCACTTAACATCACCTTGTGTTTTGCTGCAATAAATCTTGCATTGCTCCAAGCCTAGCCACACCCACACCGTTAATGTTTTAATCAATCAAAATATATAATTTCATAATAATGTTCAAGTTTATTAACATGGACGTCTGCTCTTGCCTTAAGTCCGTCGCCGGCCATAACGACGAAAGCACCGTCGGGAATGATGAGGGTAATCCATTGTCCTTGAGTGTTAAGAAGCTCGAGGCCCTGCACTTCATTCTGACATAGAATAGTGAGAGTGTCTTTGTCGGTGTGAGGGACAAGACCCATGGCTGACTCATTGCTTGGAGGAACTTTGTACTTCATGATACGAAGGACGCTAGTGCTGTCCTCTACGTGAGAAATGTAGAGCTTTCCCATCCCAACGCTCTCGAAAATCATTTTCATGATAGTATTATTCATCTCTACCAACTTTGAGCTCATGGACTTGAGAGTCTCGCTATCATAACCAATTAAACAAGAAATAAAATTATGCAGATTGCCAATTCTAATTATAAGCTTCTATATATAGTGAATGAGAAAGAACGGAAGATTCATGCTATATCAAAGACTCTTATTTTAATTTTTTATATACTGAGAACTCCATGCTGCCAGGACATGTGCAGTTTGGATTATACCATTCATTTAATTCTAAAGTTAGCCGGTTCCATCTAAAACTCTATGTATGATAGTACCTTTTCTGGTTATTTTTATTTATGAGCTGGTCTGCAAGCAGGGGGAAATGTGGGAAACAAAAGGCTGGATAATAATTAAAGCCTCGTGGCATGAGAAAGTACCTTAGGAAGAAGATGAAATAATGAAAACTTTACGAAAATTATATCAAATATATATATATATATGAAGAATACAACAAATATGATAAGCATATAGATTGTTAGTTCTGCATTATTATAGAATGTCTATGTCATTATAAAAAAAAAAAAGGAATTATATATATATAATATGAAGAATACAACAAATATGATAAGCATAGATAGTTCTGCATTATTATAGAATATCTATGTCATTATAAAATGAAATAAAAAAGGAAATCCCCGTACGTGTATATCATTTGGCGATTACATACAAGAAAAACAAAGAAAATAAAGGGATAAATATCTGGAAGGAAACAGATTTTGTGATAAAGAAAACAGTTACTTTTAGCTTTGATTGCTTTAAGTTTGTGAGAATATATATGGTTGCAATAAATGGCTTGATACTAGACAATAAGGAAGTTAAAAGAAGAAGAATTCACCAGAAACTTGGGTTCCCCTCCGGCCACATGAGGTGGGTAAACTCTTGAGCCATTTTATCCCCAGCTTCGTTATCTAACCCAAAGGATTCATGCAAAGGAATAATTTTGCTCTTGCCCAAGTAGCTGCGGTAAGGCCTAGGATCCACGTACTTCTTCTTGGTCTCTTCTGGGAGATCAAATAAACTCATCATCCCCATGAACATATCTTCACGGAGTCCTTTGGAGATCTTGTCATAGAACGCAATAAAGCAACCATGGTTCTCCAAGGCCTCTCTAACTTCTGTACACAAAACTTTATATCTTTCTCCATCCAAGTCTAGAGCTTCACCAGACAGATTAATAGATGGTATTATTTGAGCTTCACTCCCCATCTTATTCTTTCCCTCTCTCCTGGTACAATTTTAGCTCTCCGGAGTTTCGTCAATTTATAGAATTAATCAAGAGAGCTAGCCCAGAATGTCCAAAATGTCGGTTTCACTTTGCAACAACTTATGTATTTATATATATACACACATTAATTAAAAAGCAGATTGAAACTCCGTTGAGGGATTAAGGGCCATTAATTATTAACTCGGTATTTCTGTTTTTGGGATCTTGACAGGCTTAATTTTTACCAGAAAGCGACGTCCTCAATCAGCTCCAAGATTAATTTATTAGCAGGCGCTCTGTCGATAAAAATCTTTAGTGTTCAGAAGTCTCAAAATAGTAATAGTAACGCAAGCTAAGGGCATTGATATCTCTCTGACAGAGTAGTTACAAAACGCTTTAGCCATCAATGCTCTTCGACCAGGCAAAGCTATTCCTTTTTTAAGGAATCTGAACAGAAACGTACCACAATAATAAAGAATGAGTTCTGTAATTACTTTCCTTGGGTCTGTTTGAAGGACTTAAACGAGACGCCAGGCTGCATATATGTTATATTCCAGCCCATCTGTTAAGGACACAAAACTATCTCCCCATAGATTTGAGACCCTTTACATTATGTCAAATATCTGTTTGAGTACCAAACATTGACTGCACAACATTAATGAATAAAATGGACATCTCATATAGATAAACCCAGTTAGATTTGTTGATCCTAGGCAAGTATAGTTTCTTTGTCAGATTGAGAAAGATTATGATCACAGTGGATGAATCTGTGCAGCATCAGTTTGCATTATAAGCACAAATTTAATTCAAGATGGGACATGCACCAACACTTGTTTAGATCGAAATGGCAAAGTCGGCAAGTCACAGGGTATAATTATTTATGCTGTACAACTCAATCCTTTTTAAGGGCTACTACACACAATTAATTGGTTCCTCAGTCGGTTCAACCACCATGTGATTATGATCCTCCCTACATTAATAATTATAGGCGATAGAACAAATTTTACTATTCACAATTGTTGAATATGGTAAATAGTTCTCTTAACTTTGATGGATTATAGTGAAAACCCAAAGATGTGAGAATAAAGAGAAGAGTAAGCTATCGATACTATTCATCTATGTATTTCTGCAGTTTTTTTGTACTCAATGAAATTATTCTATTTGAATGTTAGACGTAGTTCTTTGATAAGAGAAAAAACCAAGATAAATCATTGTGTTTTGTTATTATTTTATGATTTTCTTGTTTGGCTTTCAGATTCAACCACAATGAAAAACAAATAGATATTGCAAAGGAAATACATGCATGTATCTAAAATATGGATCGAAGCCGCAACTTCATCCACAATTTGGTTATGTAAACCAAAACTTTCTACACTTCAATGCTGAAGGGGAAGAAATATAAAAGGATTGAACGAAGCTTGTTACTGTGTATATGGTTTCTAAAAGATAAGACAGATTAATGCAGCTTGCAATTTACTTGATGACAGTCATTTCAAAGCATGGGTAACTTTGGTGGTCCAAGAAACAAAACGATTTGCTGTACAGAGTCTATATTACCCAGTTGATCTTTTGTCAGCATAATTAAGAAAGCATTTCTTATCAATCAGTTTTCAGATGTAAGTCCAAGAAAAGAACCCAACAATGCTTAGCTATCATATTGTCAATTATGTGGACCAAGAGTTTTTTGCAAAGATCAATATCACAAGTTGGCATTCTTGCTTTGTTAGTGTATCTGATTTATAATTCACGGGCACAAACTCAAGAGTTTTTGCGAGGAAAATATCATTTATAGGGTGGGGATAAGGATAACCCAATATTTAGACCTTTCCCCTCCCTAAACACTCTTAAAGTTGCCCAACAAACTAAACACGCAGACTCTTCAATAACAGTACAGAAAAATAAATAACTAAACGAACCAAAATAAAAAAGGGAAGAGATATCAGTGAAAATTTTGTGGTGGGAGAGGAAAAGATGTGTTTGAAATGCGATCTATTGACAAATGGGAAGGATATAGACATTTGAAAGTTAGGACAAATTCAGAAATGGAGGTACCTTCCTACTTGGCGACAGGTTAACTGGAGTCCAGACTCCAGAGGCCCAGCTGAAAGATTTCTCTGGAGAGGACATTCTTTGTTTGGAGTGATTTAGGAATATCATGATTTGATGGGAAACAAATTCATTGACCTATCAAATTGTATATCCATCTACATAAGCTTAGAAGGTCTTCAATTTCCGTTTGATGATAAAGTCTTCCATGTAGGATCCAGAATGGTCAACTGAAAATTGTCGAATGAACAGAATAACGAGGATAGTTTGCTCGTTCTGGAAACAATTATGCAGGGGCAATACGATTGTTATTTAAATGCTTCATCATCTTCAAATATTTACATCTTGGTTCATCAAATGGTGTGATTCGGATTTGGGTTAAATTCACAAGCATTCAGAGCACAGCTTCAGTTGTACTTGTATTAACCAAAATTTGTTTGGCAGCAGTAACTTCAGAAATAGAACATATTAAAAGCCAAAAGGAAAAAAAAAACCACAAACGTACATATTAAAATTCTTGGAACAAAGAAAAAAGATTCAGTGAATCAGAGGGAACTGACAGCACTTTCTGTCATTTGTATGCTAAAAACCACCAATTCTAGCTGTGTCTGGATAAAAAAAGGGAATACCAAACTTGACCTAGGCCTCAAAATCATTCACAGATGAGATGAATATCTCCAAGCAACCATATTGAAAAGCTAAAGGAACATGTTATTCCTTATAAGGAGTACAAAATATTACAAACAGGTAGTCCATATCTTCTGTCCAAGTATATAGTAAAATAACAGCAATACAACAGACGAGGTTAGTTGCTAGGGTTACAAGGAGCTGTCATCTGGTAGAGAACACAAAATGGGATCAGCCAACCAAATCAGGCACAACTACAAACATTTTGATTAAAAGTAACTAGTATTACATGAGAGGTTACTTGGATCACATCACTTCCACAACTTCACAAACTTGTCATGACTGGCTGAAGCTACTAATCCTGTTGCAGTTGATACAGCCAAGGCAGCAATCAGTCCTTCATGAGCTGAGAGTGTCATAGTCTTGTTCTCACTCATGTTCCAAAGTTCCAAAGACTGCAACAAATGTGCACAGTAGAATGTCAGAAAATATTCTTAAACCATCAATTATGATCATCAAATATCAATTTTCCATATATGACGATGATGCAACACACCAATGATTAAGTCCATGCACTACTTAAAAAAAAGCATTGAGAACTATTTGACAATCATACAGATTTATTTTGCCAACTTCCATAGCTAACTATAAACCCAAAACCGAGCTAAACAATTAATACAAGAAAAGTTACCTGGTAACAGCCAATCACCAGCAAGGAAGGATACGTAGGATGGAAGACGCAGGAGTGGAATTTGTTGCCATTACAACTCAACTCATGAACACAATCCCCTTCACTCCCTGACCCAAGTGTCCAGACTCTTACAGAGTCCTCGCTGACAGATGCTAGAAACTCACCAGAAGGATCCCAGCATACAGAATGGATTGGTTTAGTATGTCCCTATAATTACAAATCCACAATCAGCCATGCTCCCTTTCATATCATATTTGCACATACATTTTCTCTTAATTCACAACAAAATGATACAAACTTGATGCCACTTCTTTCAGTTATTTAAATTTACATGATTTTCTTTTCATTTTATTTTAAAAGAATCCATACAAAAAGGTTGTTGATACATTAGCTAGTACCCACTTTTTTGGTGCGAGAATTGTTTGTATATCCAGGACTCAATAAGGTTAGTACATTTCTAATCTAATGCAGCATTCACTTCAAATTTCAACTGACCAGTAATGAAAGCCGACAGGCTTGTGTTTCCACATCTAGGATAGATACAACATTCTCTGCAGCTGCAGCAAGATATCTTCCAAGATGAGGTTGAAATCTCATCTGAGCCGTACCACCCTAAAACCATACAAAAGTATTAATATTGACGAGACAAAGAACCACCTAAATACCACCCAAATCCAACTTATTTCAGTGTAATCATCAACCAATAGCAAACAAGATTCTACCTTGAAAACTCTCGCACAGCTACCATTGTTAATACTCCAGTACCGTATTTCACCATCCCCATCACAAGAGCAGATGAGATCCTCTTTATTGGGGTGGAAGTCCAGTGACATAACAGAAGCAGAATGCCCCATAAAAGTGCGAAGTGAATAGCCAGGCTGCAGAGAACATCATATACAAAGGCACAAAATAATTAATGAGTAAGCAACACTAACAAATTTGAAAACCAAAACGAGAAGACTAAAAGTAACATAAATACATATGCTCGACTTTTAATATGCTAGAAAACAAAACTATTCCAACTCCTGAATTACTTAATAAAAGTTAATATCAACAAAGACAAGCCTCCACATTCATATTTATAGCAATAACCTACATGGCATCTCACATCATAACCAAATTTAGTACAGATACATTTTTCAAAATATTATAAACAATAAAATGCAAAAATAACAAAATACATGCCCATAAATGAAAAAATTGACAAGTCAAGACAAATTAATTAGTTCACTAACATTGTCAGCATCCCAAACTCTAACGGTTTTGTCAAATGAAGATGTTGCAAGACGCGGCATGCTGGGACTGAAACGAACATCAGTAATCAGAGAAGAATGCTCTTCAAGGTTTGTTTTCAACTTTAAAGTATCAGTGTACCACAAGACAGCCTGCAAAACCAGCATTCAAGCATATCAGCATTCTCTTTTTTTCCTTTCTTCCTTTTTTTTTTTTTTAATAATTCTTTGGGGAGGGTTAACTTTATCAAGCAACCTAAGCCACATCTTTCTTTGATAGGTACAGCAGCCAAATATTTTTAAAATTAATTAGGTAAGTTAATTATTTGATATTAAGAAGCATTGATTCTCCCAGCAACATTTATTGCTCATACTATTCATTCACCCTTTTTTTAATTATTAGAGTAAATAACTTCATCATCTTGAAACTGACCTTCTTGTCATGGCCACCAGTAGCAAGCAGCTTGCCATCAGAAGAGAAGTGACAACAGACAACTTTGCTTGCGCTAGCTCTAACAGAATTTACTTCCTTAAATGAGAACCCTGAAGCCAAAAAGCATATGCTGCATGCTTAGTGTGAATCATAAGAAAAAATAGGCCAACCATGACAAAGAAATTTTCCATGTTAATTATTTTTCACTAGCATTATGATACTTACAGAGTCCTACATGATGTTAACACACATTATCAACAGACAAACTTAAAGGATTACAATATCAATGACTGTTTTCATATATTATAAATAATAAACAGAACATATATTAAAAAATCACAAATCGCTCAAAGGAATTATTTCAGGAGAACACAAATTTATTGTACGGAAGAAGCAACCACTTGAAACAGATAGCCTCAAAAAAGAGGATACAAAAGCAGAAAAGCCAATGAGGAAAAAGATCGCCAGGGAGGCATCTGGCTTGAGTACAAAAGAAAACCAGCCATGAGAAAAGTAAATGCAAGAAAAAGAAAATAACAATTAACATGGAAATCCACAAAAATTGTGAGCATTGGAATAACCACATATAAACAGTTGAGCTTTATTCAATAACTCCATCCCGCAAGAACTTGAGAAAAAGCAAACAACAAAACTGGTGACGGCAAGCTTCTGGAAGATTCCTCACAAACTATAACCAGTGCAAAAGGCATGCATTCACACACCTTGGCTGACATCCATACCACGGCCACCAGGATCTCTGGGGTCTTGATCATCGTGGGATAAAAAAGACTCAACATTATCATCAAGGGAACCATCCTCCACAAAACGGTCCACATCAGCCTGCAATTCAAGATCTTTATCATCCCACTGCCAAAATGGAATGCCAATGAGAATTATGCAATGAATCTGAAGGCCTTAAACCTCTAGAACAAGATAGGAAGTGCACTCACCAATTGGTTTGATGGTGATGTAAGTGTACCAGTACCTTCGGTGCCAAACATCATCAAAGGCTTTGAAGAACCACCATTATGTGGCAAAGCAGGCATTGAAATCACATCTCCAGGGGTGTGGGTTGACGGTGTTGAAGGTGCTGAACTTGGGGAGGGTCCTGCTGTATTAGCAGTCCCAGAGCTATTGGCAGGACCTGAAGATGATACCGGCTGTTTTCTCTTTCTCCCAGTCTGGTTTTTTGAAACCTTAAAATGCATTAAGAGAAGCCACGTTAGAAACCTGACCAAAGTTCTTAAAAGGCTCGGCAATGCTCACATATCACTCACTCCCTCTGAGTTTCTGATATATAACGAACTGACCCTTTTATTGACAATGGAAAAAACTGTTGTGAGGTATCAAATAATCCATCATTACCTAATATCTTTTCCAATTATTTGGTAGTTGAAACAGAATTTAAAATCTGACATACGTACTTATTAACATTCAAGGCCAGAAGAAAAAGATTTCACAAACTACTTGCAATCTCAAGGAATGGGGATAATAGAGTTTTAGATCAACATACACAAGAAATTACAGGGACGCTTTGTATTAGGCTCAGAAGAAAAATAATAGTGCATCAAGTTGCATATGTTTGCCAATCCTCAAAGAGAGAGGATGGGGGTAAATTACCCATAACACCATAATCATTAGTATTTGAAACCACAAAAAGCACGTGAAAGTAGCTGTACATAAACTTAAACGGAAAGTTAATAACATAAAAGTTGAATACATATAATTCAATAATGCACCAATAATATCTCAATAATCGGAAGCCAATTATTCAACTGGTCATACTTATAAAATCCCAAAAAGAATATAACTTTGCCGCCAACTGTGACTATAATAAATAACTTTTTTTTTAATGCAATGAACTTTAAGAAATTAAAGAAACTGAATAATTTGGCAATTATTAAGGGCACTCTAGATAAACAGATGACTAGACGTAAATACATTGGTAAAGCTAAGCTGGCTAACTGAAGAAACTANGTTGAATACATATAATTCAATAATGCACCAATAATATCTCAATAATCGGAAGCCAATTATTCAACTGGTCATACTTATAAAATCCCAAAAAGAATATAACTTTGCCGCCAACTGTGACTATAATAAATAACTTTTTTTTTAATGCAATGAACTTTAAGAAATTAAAGAAACTGAATAATTTGGCAATTATTAAGGGCACTCTAGATAAACAGATGACTAGACGTAAATACATTGGTAAAGCTAAGCTGGCTAACTGAAGAAAATACTACACTAATTCTTAATACAATTTAATAATTGTTGGAATAAGAAATGACAGACCTGATCATTTCCTCGATAGGAGTTTGAAATGCTACCATCAACAGTCACACTGCCAGTGGTCCCCATTTTATCTTGCTGATGAAGATTGTGATTAGAACTCTGTGATTGTTGATTTGAAAGAGCATGCTGCTGTGGATTACTGTTCTGTTGCTGTTGTTGTTGTTGTTGTTGCTGCTGCTGCTGTAACTGAGCCAATTTTAACTACACATAAACAAAACCCATTTGAATAAATTTGAAGGGACAAAATGGCATCTGAGGAAACATAATGCTACAAGATTAAGACCTTCATTAGCATATCAGTATCTCCACGAGGAAGAAGAGGGCCACCAGTTTGTAAAGGTGATCCAACATTTGGAACCACATCACCAACAGAATTTGAAAGACCCTCCTTTCCAAGGCCCATATTACGATTGTTCAAAATCATTCTGAGTCTTCTACTTTCATCACTAGCAGATGGTGATGTCAGACTTTGTTGTGCAAGCATAAGTTGTTGCTGGTGTTGTGGTGTCAACATCTGAAGTTGATGAAAAGGCTGAGGAGCCTGTATAAAGGGTTTTTGCTGCTGAAGAAGCCCAGAGCGTAGTTGTTCCAGACCCTAACAAAGGAGGTAAAATGTAAAAACTGACAATGAAAAATAAAAGCTACAATTTAACGCTGAGTATTTAAAAGCAGAAAATATTTTAGACCAAGAAAGAAAAATATATGAGTTTCTTAGGAAGACGAAAAATATGCTCCATCATAGAAATCTTACCGTGAGTGGCCATCCTTTTAAAGTTAAATTGTTACCACCTTGATTTGATCCTGAAACAAATATAAAGTTTCATGTTAGCCACAAGGATAGCTACAAAATTACAATTACCATAACAACACTATTAGTTAATTCCCAAAATCCTGCAAAAATGAAAGAAATGCAATAAAAGAACGATTGGTGATTTGAAGTCAAACTGTACTAAAAATATGATATCATAATCCAAAAGATTGATGGACGTTAATTAGAACATCGAACAGAGAAAGGGCTGAAGCAAAGCGTACCAGGAATGCCTATTAATGATCCTTCCGGACCTGCTGCTCTAGGATTCAATACTGGATTAATCTCACTCTTTATGTCCTAAATTCAGATAGAATTCAGAAAAGGGCATAAAAGAATAGCAAAAGAAAATAAGATTATTCGTATGCAAATAACTCACTTGTGTGGACCCTGGAAGTTGTTGATTCCGTGCTTGAACTTGTGGAGACATACCACCCGCTGTACCATGCAAAACTTGCCTGAAATCAAATAATATATTCTCTATGAGTTTAATGTCAGAGACAGAATAAATGTTCAGATGCTACACTAAATCCCTCAACAGTTATGCAGTTCATTAGGACATCACAGGGATAAATGTTTTTCCAACTTTGATCTACAGCCTTTGACCATCAAAATCAAATTTAGGATGATATCATTGCAACATAAAAAGAGGTTTACCACCCCAAATTCCTGCAACTGTATAAGGCATAATTTCTCTACTTCATACATCTTTCCTCTGATTTCAAGTACGAAATTCAAGTAAAAAAGTAAATCTTAATAGAGAAGCACCCTGAAGGCTGGCCAGTAGCCGCAGCTGACTTCAATATGGAAGCATGATTTGGATCCAGAAGCTGACCCATATTCTCACCAAATCTTTGCTGAAAAAGATTTCCCAAACGATCAACCACTATGCAAAATAAAAAGGCACAAAATGCATATAAAGGGAAAAAAATTTATAAGGGTGTGCCACCTTCATAGCAGCATCATCCAAAGAATCCCTTTGCAGTGGCAGTTTTAATCTTTCCTCATACATCTTTGTAGCCAAGGCATTTGCCGTTCCAGGGTTCTGTCGCATTAGAGGGTCATTTCCTACAAGCCCATTAGTAGTACCATTTAGGAGGTGGGCTCCATCCCTTCGCTGCGGCTGCTGTTGCGGCTGTTGCTGCTGAGGTTGCTGAGGCTGCTGCTGTTGCTGTTGCTGCTGTTGTTGTTGCTGTTGTTGCTGTTGCTGCTGTTGCTGCGCATGTCTCTGCAATAGGAGCTGTTGCATCTGCAATTGTTGTTGTTGCTGTTGCTGTTGCTGTTGTTGTTGTGGATGCTGTGGTTGTTGGGGTTGCTGTTGCTGTTGCTGATGTTGTTGTTGTTGTTGCTGCTGCTCTCGTGCCTTAATCAATTGTGTCTGCAATTCAATATTCCATAAGCTTCCATGAGATCCTTCAGATTATTTTATACATAAGAACTTCAAAAAAAAACCCTTCTTAGAAGTAGCTCCACAGGTTAGCCTTTAAAATATTTAAAGGTCAAAGGGGCTCTTATACCATCCAGTCCCCAGAAATGAACAAGTCAATTTTCCATGATGATAAGAAGCCCTAACATGAGCAAAATTAACCTCCTAGCGGTAGCCATCTATAAGAAGCAGGTATGATACAAGCATCCCAGTCAAAGTGTACATGGCCTTCAATACAAAGCTGAAGGCTCCAAAATCCCCAAGACAGGAGCTAGGTTATGCATAACAAGAACAAAAGATACAAATATTAAGTGGCTGCTCAAGGTTCCTCAAACATTTCTAAGGACAATCTGTTCAAAGGACTTCTAAAAATAAAAGATTAAAAAGCTAGACAAGGTCAGATGATGAGAACTCTTTCAACTGCTGCTTCATCATCAACTCATCTATTGACCCTGGGAACATACATGCCATAAAAGCAGGGAAAAGTGAGGAATTCTAACAAAAGGCCATAACTGAAGTAGTAAAAATGCAAAACCATATATGATTAGAAGTGTTAATCAAGGCTTCAAAGATTATTAATAGCCCCTCATGAATTGTTAATATTCTAGTCCAAGAGTATTCAAGACATGCATGCAGACACACTTCCAATTCACATATTAATACTATAGGATTATAGATAATTTATCAAACAAGAGTAGGGAAGAACCAAACGAGACTTTTTTCTCTGCTTGGTGAGAATTTTTCTGACACTTTCGTCATCAGTAGAGTAAATGCTGAGTTTTACTATTGTAAAAAAGAAAATATAGAACTTTGCACACTACAAAATCATGAATCTTTAGAAACACCTCAACCAGATTACTAATTTTAAAATTGTATGCGCTAAATAGCAAATTTTCAGGCAATTCAGAGGCATGAATAAAATTATAAAGAGCAAAGCCCAGAAAATAGCAATAAACAAGTTAGACTTACATCAGATATACATAGAAAACGAAGCAACAGTAGAATTAGAAAGCGACAATGCTGGTTGACAATATGACTAGGATATGACTACAAAACTACAGAGTTGGCAAGTATTTAGCCCACTATACAAATTACACAAACTTAAGATGATGATAAAGGAAAACTAGAAGCGGCAAAAGCATTCCAAAATAAACTCTAGCTTCGGGAATATTGCGCTTCCAACAAAAACTCAAATATAATTGAAACCAGTTAGTTGGAACAAACCTCGATGTAAGAGGCAGCAACCTCTGAATGCTTCTCATTAGTCCTAGCAATAAATATATCCCAAAAAACAGACCACCATTCAAAGAGAAAACCACCAGGCGCATCAATGGCTGAAAATCCATGCATAATGAACATGTCAATAAAATTACAAAAAATAAATAAATAAGAGGAAACAGGAGGGAAAGAGGCACTAGAACTAAAAGGGGCTTTTTCATTCTCTTAAGTTGTAATTTCTGCTTAATTTACCGACAGGATCAGAGGATACTTTCCCTTCAGCTTGAAAAGCCTGAGCAGAAGTCTTTAAATCCCTCTTCACTAAATAATCATGAATATACACATCTAACCTGTTGTTTCAAAATACAGCCAACATATTGCATTAGTGAACGAGTCATTACATTTGACGAAAATTTAATAAATATACCTCATAAAAAAGAATAAAATATAACTCAAAAATTTAAAATTTTATTTTAAAATAAAAATATTTTGATACAACAGTTTTTTATAAAAACAAATGAAAAGAAAAAAATAAAAAACGCATTTTGAGCTAGTGATATTCTCACAATAAATCTTAGAACCCCAAATGCTACCCAAAAAAACAAAAAACAAAAAAAAAAAGATCAGCAACATGGCCAGTAAATATCACCTAATTGAAGCCCCAAAAAGAATAAAACAAACTGGTAAACCCTAAAATAAACATGTCACGAAAAAGCTCCAAAGAACAGAACTTGAATCCAGAAATGATAAAAAGAAGCAAAAGCTCACATACCCAAAACCCAAATCAATAATTAAAAAAAAAACAATTTCAGACCCAAAAAAAGACTGAAACCCATATGAAAAAATGACAAATGAATAACTAAGTAGAAAAAAATACTCACATTTTATCCGCTTCCCAGTTGTTTTGAGACATATTGAATCAACCACACTTAACAAAAACAGTTAAAACAGTAATGTTAGATTCTAAGATACTGACTTTTGCAGCCTCTAAATTACAAGCCAGAAAAAAGCAGAAAAGAAAACAACTTTATCTTAATAGAAACAAAGAGAAGAAGAAGAAGAAGAGTGGTGGTCTTAGAGAGAGAAGAATCTATGTGAAGGAATAGAAGAAACAGAGCTCTCTAATTTTAGTAAATGAAATATTAACTGTAATAAATACAGAAAGAGAAAGATTTATTAGAGTCATACCTGCAAATCAAAAAAACGTATATTTGTTTGAGAGCTTTTTATGATTTCTTTTTAATTTTTTATTTTTCTGCAGCTTTGTTTTGGTGGATTGAGTTGCCGTTGCAGATATCACAATGGCTTTTCTGCGTTTAACTTACCGAAAAAGCCCTTCCCTTTGTCAAATTTTCAATCTTAGGACTGTCAACAAAGTACAACTTTATTTTCAGACTGATTAAATGACCTTGCGAGTGCTGAAAAATTACACTAATTAACCGTCTTTGTTGAGGGAAGATGAGGGAGTGATTTGTAAAATCAGCTAAACAGCAAACACTTATTGTCTTTCTTAATATAGGACTTCTACTTTCTTTATTTTCCAATGAGGGCTTTTAATTTGTAATAATTATATTTTTACCGCCTTTATATTCTTTATGTTACATTCATGACCTTCCCATAGCCTAACAAGTTATTATAATAATCACATTTGGTAATGGGTGGGTAGCCCAAGCTTGATTATCAACTTTCCTTTTTAAGAACACCTTTTTGTTATCTTGAGGAATCAGAAAACCTTATTCTCAAATATTCTATACTCTACCTTCTAATCAATATGAAACAATTTTTCTTCCCAAATATTCTATACTCTACCACTAATTAATGGGTAAATATAATTTTTATAAATCGACTATATGTTCTCGTATATAAAAATTTCGCTATTGATATTAATATTTTTTTTTTGGGTGAATATATTAATATTATTTGATTATTTTGTTGGTAAAATAGTATTTAATAATTAAAAATTAAAAAATATCATGATTTTGATGTAAAATAAAAATATTTAAATTTAGTTTGAAATTGCTTGCATGCCCTTTCATTATTTTGTTGTTTATATGTGGTCAAATCACCAAAAAAATGTAGGTTCATCATTTTGTCTTAAAGTACCAAAATGAAAATATAAAATAAAACGAAACGCTGCGTTTGCCGTATTGATGATTAAATATCTAAAATGACAAAAATTAAATCAGCAATTTAAAATAAACCACGATCAATAATAGTTAATTAATATTGTCAAAGCATAATATGACGAGATGAGTCAACTCGGTTCCATGAATTGTTTAGTTAATGAGTGGGTAGTTAGGTCTTTTAACGGACACTGAAACGTGTTGGGTCAATTCCAGAGAGTTCTTCATTCTCTAAAACTCAACGGTCTCAATTTCGGACCAATGGTTAATTACACTTTTTCAGTTTGATACTTTTATTGAAATAAAACAAAACACCACTGTCTGGACAATTTTACCCCTACCTTCTTCTCATGGGCACAACACGACGAGACAATTTTCCAAATTTAATAAATAATCTTGTTATTAATGAGCTAAAATTAAATTTATAATATGTACATAATTGGCGAATCTCCAATCTCCATTACCAAACCATTTATTGGGCCAATCCTAAATAATACCTATTTATTGTCACCATAATATCTATATTTTATTAAATACCATATAATAATCACAACTACCAACATTGCGTCATCTTTATATTATAGTTAACATTAACCAATTACCACCACTGCCATTTATTACGTCATTATCAGTATGACTATGGCACAATGTAATTAATGGGGTCGGATCTGGGTAATTATTGGACTACCAAAGATTGGGCTGTCATGGCCAATGGGCCCATTTAATTTCAGATAATTGGTTTAAATCCTATGGGCCAGACAGCGAAACCCAATAACTTTGCGATTCTATAGATCCATTTCAATGGGCCGTGGAAATATTTACTTGTGAAGGGTGAGTTCTTTTGCAGTTAAAAGATTAATCTTATACCCTTTTTTTTCTATGAAATAAACTAATCAATAAAAAAATTAAATTTTTTTATTTAACTTATTTTTAGAATTCTGACACAAATCAATAGAATAATGCTTGAATATATACTATAATAAAAACCATATAAAACCTTAAAAAAAAAAAAAAAAAAAAAACCTCCTTTTCAAGACTGAAAATCTTGTCTATAATTTCAAGGGGTTGGTATGGCGGTAAAAAAGATTTACTACTTTCATTAACTTCCTAGGTTCAAACTAACTTGAGGCTATCTTAGGCATGGCAATGCGGTGGAGCGGGGATCTCATTCACCGTACCCGTCCCCACCCTCAAAATCACTCCTCACGCCAACCCCATCCTTGTTACGGGGATGATAGGAATTTCCCTTCCCCACCACATAGGGGAATGTTGGAGGCCTGCCCCCACCCTGTTAATTTACATAAACATAAATTAATTTGAGCATTACCAAACACAATAATTAATTCTCGTCCACATAACAAACACTTAAATTAATCGCTTAAACATAATTAATTCTCGTTCACAAGACAAACATTTAAATTAATCGTTTAAACATAATTAATTTTACATAAATATAGGTTAGGGTTTGTTCTTGTTCAGTTGTTTAAGGTGAGGGAAATTGAGAAAATATGGGTTTATATAGATAGAATAATTGTGTAATTAGGTGAAATATAAGGATATTAGTGAAAAGTGTGTATATATATATAATTTTTAATTTTATATATTATATATGGGGCGAGACGGGGTAAGGGAAAGGCATCACCCACTCCTGCCCCATCCCCGGGGACGGGGATTAAAACGCCCCCACCCTTGCCCCAATCCCCAAAAAAACTGGGGCTTCCCCACCCCATATGGGGTAGTGTGGGACAGATCCCTGGAATTCCGGAGAACATTGTTATGCCTAAGTTACCTACTACATTTGTGGCTTATTTGAAATATTAGGCTTATAAAGTATTCAACAAACCCTAAAAATTAGTTAAAGTACTCGCAAGCTGACTCGGAGTTTTGGACACCCCAGTTATCAAAAAAAAAAAAAAAATTCTTGTCTATGTTCTTGATAAAATCTGAAATTATAGGCAAATATAATAGAAAATTCCTTATTGATTATGTTCAGTAAATAAACGTGGAGAAAAGACAGAAGGTGACCATACACCATTTAGGATTATTTTCTTATTCTGCAACGTAACATAGATTTGATAGATATTACATAGCAGAGGTATTCAGAATATATAGACGACAATATAGTATTTAAATTGTAGTTGTAGCACATTTTACAGAAACAAATTGCCCATTGTAAGGTCCTTATCTTCTCATTATAGTATTCCCAAGTCAGCCAGGCACAAAATGGAAAAGCTTAACAAATACAATGACATATCCAAACCAAGAATTTCAAACTTACGCCTTTATCAAAGTTCAGAGTCCTTAATTGTGGCCCATACACAATCTTAATGAAAGATATTAACAAAGAAGGAGAGATTGAAGAAGTCAAGAAATGTGGGCATCGTGAGGTCTCTCTCTCCCCATAAAAATTAAGCTGCTGTAAGTAAAAGCAACATGCCACTGAGATCAAAGTGGGCCAAAGGGATTCATGGTGGACCTTATTTCTAGTATTATCATCTCATCACTTACATCCAAAAACGACTACAATCCCCAAGAATTCAAAACAGTAAATCAAATTTTGTCTTCTGCAAACAGTTTTATAATATATTTTTATTTATTTAGATATTTATTATATATATATATATATTTTGCATGGGGGGGTATGGCATGCATGCACAACCATCAGTCTCTCTGATCACTACATTTGCATGCCATGTCATGCCAACCTATACTTGCATAGATAGTAGATACGCTCCCTGCATCGAACTCTGAATTCATCTTTTAAACATCACTAACCATATCTTCTTCGTGCATTACACGCTCCTCCGTGGAAGGACAGAATCCTCTATATCTGGATGAACCGTGTGAGGAAATGGGAGGTTAATAATGTTAAAGAGGTGGGAAGATTGGATTAAGGAGGATAAGGAGGTGGTGGACTGTGGAAGAAAAGAGATGAGAAGAGAGAAGTTAATTAAAAAGAAGAATAAAATGGAGAGAGGTTTTGATGATAAACCATGCAATCTGTTGGTCTCTGGAGGGAGAGAAAGAAAATGGTCAGAAGGAAAAGAGGTGACGTAAGTATAATCAGAACAAGTGTTCCGCGTGCGTGGAAGCGTGTGATGGAGATTTTCGAATTGAACGAAAGAAAGAACCAAATTTAACTCTCTCTTTGGTTTTTTTTATCTTCTCTTGCTCGTGCTCTTTGCATATTGTCATATGGCGGCAGAGAGAGAGACAGAAAAAGAAACATTAAAGAGTATATTATGTAATGTAATTGAAGGGGAAGAAGAGAGCTTTAGGTGCTTGCATCATCAATGGCAGTGAGTGAGAGAGGTGAAGAGATGTTGGAGGAGTAAGACTGATGCAGAGCTGTCATTTCGATTCTGAAAGCTTCGTACAATAGAGCCGTCAGAGCCCCATCATTGTCTCAATTATCAGCGTGAAAGAGAGAGACAAACAATACACTCCGAGTACTGACTACACTACATTTTCATTGAGCCTTTACACTCCATTTCATATCGATGCAAACAAAGTTCAGTGATTGATCCATCGATCGATTCACGTTTCAGATTCTACTTACTGCATGTACTTCTCTCCATCGATCTCTCTTTGGTTTTTTTTTTTTTTTCTTGAAGTAAATTTCAACTATCCTAAACAATCAATATTAGTTGGTAAATTAATGGACAGATGGACCTAATTAATTGGGTCGGAAATGAGAACTGGCCCAAACAATGACGTATGAAGCAAGTGAGTAGTAGTTTTCTTGTAACGGAAAGAGTAAAGGGGTAAATGGTTAAACTACTAAAAGTGGGTTCTTGAAAAGTTTACTAATTCACCAAGATTACAGAGATGTTTCCATTCTGGCAAAGGACAAAATCAAACTACTCTTTTTAACTTCAACAGTAAAGTGTTTGATGACGATCAATATTCATGGAGCTTACGCAAACACACATAACTTCTAAATTTTTCTGCTAACATTTGTCAAAAAACTGACGTGAAGAAAATATCATGGATCAACATCATCTGAAAATTGACCTCCATGGACCTGGGTTGTAAAGTAGTTATTTATAGTATGTTTCACCTGAGTACGAAGAGATTAAATTTTTTTCATGTATTAGATTTAGATGTTTAATATATCTTTAATAAGAAGAAAGAATATGAACAGATTAATAAGAGTGGGGAATATGAACAGAATATGAACAGATTATAATATATCTGCTGAAAATATGTAATGTAGAACGTTGACCTCTGATGAAATCTCGTTTTTAGGACCTCAATTGATGATGCTTTGATGAAAACCTGTCAGCACAGTGAGCAAGAAGGTGGTGGATACAGTACTGTACACACACTTGTTTGAAAAATTCTTTCAAAAACCACTACTCGTGCAGAACTAAAATCTGTGAACGAAAATTTTCATAGATTCTGCGGATGAGTTCATGGATTGATATTATATACTTTCTCTAGATTTTAATTAACATGCAGGAATATCTTTAAAATAATCAACAAAAATTTTATTTCTAAAAGTAAACGAGGGTGTGTTTGTTTTAGTATTTTTAAAATAGTAAGGGCTAGATGAGAATAACAAGCTAAGATTTCAAAATTAATAAAATACTCATAGGTTTGTTAATTTACTAAATACCCCTATAATAAAAACATTAAAAATTATAAAAACACTCTCACTCACCCATTAAATACCGACAACCGGCTACCACCGTCGAAGGGTGGTGGGAGTCGCCGTATCGGCTCACAACCAGCTGGATATGGTCGGTCATGCACCGAGATGGCCTTTTCCAGCAAGATCCACCATAGATCTGGTCGAAAAAAACAAGATCTAAGGTTAGATCTGGCCATTAATGACCAAACTTGGCTACATTTGGTAATCAACAACGGCCAAAGATATGGCTATCGTTGACGACTGGCTACGACTAAAAATCTGGCTGTCGTTGACGACTGGCTACGACCAAAGATTTGACTGTCATTGACGATTGGCTACGACCAAAGATCTGGCATTTTCCAGTCAGATCCATGGTAGATCTGGCCGAAAAAAGCTATATCGGCGTACTACAGGCCATATCCAGCTGGTAGTGCACCATTATACCAGATTCTTGCCACCTTTCGACGGTAGTGGTCGGAATCTGGCAAATGTGGGTGGTAGGGGTGTTTTTGTTAATTCTTAAACTTTTTGGGGGGGACGTTTAGTTAAATTAACAAACTTAGGGGATTTAAAAATAATTGAATAAAATATAATGATATTTTCTTAATAGGAAACAAATGTGTATTTTGAAAATGATAGGAATAGGATAGGGAAAAATAATGAAACAAATGGATAAGTGTTTTGGAAATATTAAAGTATGCTTAATTTAACTGGTTGGGTTAAGGAAATTTGTTCTCCTCGTTGAGTTTCTAGATTTGAACCTTGAGGCCATTTATTATATTGTGACTACGGTGGTTTGCTTTGCTCCCTTTATTGATCTTTTGGATTTGAACTTGGAACCACCTATTATATTGTGACTTAGAGCATCTTCAAGTGACTCTTTATATGATTCAAATTCTTTATTATAAAAAGCCTATCCATAAAAACAAGAGTTCAACCGACTTTTTATCTTTTAAATATAAATTAAAGAGTGAGTTTGACTCTCTACATCTAAAAAGTTAAATTTCACTCTCTATCCAATTTTTAATTAATAAACTACAAGTTTTCATGTATTTTATTTAATAATTCTCTTTATCATTAAGTCTCTTTCTTGAAAGTAAAGAGCATCTTTTATTGGATTTGAATAAAAAAATTATTCTTTATATTTAAAAATTAATAAAGATATTTTTTTTATATGAAACATACTCTTTGAAATAAATAATACTAAATTAATGAAGATGTTTTTTATTTATATAAAACATACTCTTTGAAATAAATAATTAAATTGAAGATGCTCTTAGCCCATCATTTATCCTTGTACGGTATTCAACGACCCCGCGCCTGGCCAAAACACCAAAAAAGGTGTATGTTTAACTTCTCATTTACTTGAATATCCTTTAACAATTGTTACTACAAATTATTTATTTTATATTTAAAAAAAAAAAAGAGGGAGGGAAGTCTAATATTTTTATTTTTATATAAGATCTGAAGATAAATTACAATACATTATGAAATTAATTTATACAAAGCTAAGAAACGTACATGATGACAAGAGGTGATGTAAAACCCCAGGCAAAATTGGCGCATATACAAGACAAGAACCAAGACTGAGAGTAAGAAAGGAAAAATAAAAGTCAGTCAGAACTTGATGGCTAGTAATTACCCAATCTAAAAAAAAAAAGAAAAAAAAAAACCTAGAAAATATCCCAAATTTTCTCTGTTTCTTTCTTAATCATGAAATTTGATTTTCTATGATTTTGCAAGTAGGATAACATGATGGGTATTTTTGTAGTCCTTGATTGTCCTCCATTGCTCTGCAATATCTTGAGCAATTTTAACAGCATCATAACTTGTTCCTTGAAGTCCTCTTCTTGTAAACCCAACTGTATATAATCCATTTTCTCCCTTCCATCCATCTGGAAATGGTGTTTTTGGCATCCCATCTTTTGTGAAAAAATCATTTCCCTGCATTTTACATAAAGAATTAATTGTCTAGTGCTTCAAAATTAAACAAAACAGAGAAAACTATAAAAAAATTCTCCATTTTGATGAGTTCTCTCTAGGAAGAGTTCAAAATAGAGAGTTTGTTCAAGCAAGCAAAATGGGTCATCAGAAAACACCAATATTTGATGAAAGCTACATAAAGAATTAATTTTTTCTTTGAATAATAATAAAAAAAAAAAGGGGGGGTATATACCAAAAAGCAGAATAACCCAAACAGACCCTAACTGATTTTATTCTTTTTTGCATGGAGAAAAGAAGGGATTTGTAGGTTTCTGGCTCTGTGTGCATGTGTCCAAGACAGAAAGTGATAGGTGATTCACAACATGATAGAACTAAAACTAAAAAAAGGTAACAACTCATGCTTACCTTGAGCCAGGAAGGCACATTACTTTTGTACCCTGTTGCTAAGATTACAGCATCAATCTCCTTTTCTTGTCCATCCGTGAATCTGGCTACATTTTTTGTTATCTCTTTCACACCTTCCATCACCTGGAAAGCTATCGACGTCAGCTAAAATATTGAAGCAAAGCTATTTCAAAAAGTTAATAAGCTTTGCCCTAAAAGGGATTGTTTTTGGTTAGTTGGTTACCTTAATTTTACCGGATTTTATCTGTGAGAGTGCTCCAACATCCAGCACCGGAGTCTTTCCGGTGAAGTTTTTGAGTTCAATTGGACCTGTTTTGGGACGCCGGAGACCCAATTGATCTGTGTTGCCTAAGGTGAGGTTTGCAATTAGCAGTAGTATCTTGTCTACTAACCTTAAAGGAAGCCATTTAAGAAGTGTCATGGCTATACCAAATGTTGAAAAACCAAACATTTCTCTGGGCAGAACATGTACCTGTACCAAACAAGTATGCAATAATTTAAGAAACACAGTTCCTTTATCATTTAATTTAAAAAGTGCAGTTGAGAATATGTCATTCTCAAAAGGAATAAAAAGACAACTGAAAAAGTGATACTTACAGTGTTTCTAACAACCATATGAGGAATTGCATTGTATCTACAAAGGTCTAAACTGACTTCCATGCCAGAATTACCACAACCAACAACCAAAACCCTCTGGTTTCTAAACTCAGAGCCAGACTTGTACTCGCTGGTGTGAACAACCGGGCCATTAAACTTCTCAATCCCAGCAATTTCAGGTGTCACAGGTTCAGCGTTTTCACCAGTGGCAATGATAAGCCATTTAGAAATGTACTCAAAATCCTGAGTTTGTACCTTCCAGAAACCACCGGAATGATCAAAAACAGCTTGCTGCACAGCTTGCTTGAACCGTGGTTGGATTGAGAAATGTGAAGCATAAGACTCAACGTAAGCAATGAACTGGTGCTTTGTTGGATATTTGGGAAAGTTTTCAGGAAAACCAAGAAGTGGTAACTCACAAAAGTGTTTTGGAAGATGGAGTTTAAGACGATCGTAGGTTTTGTGTTGCCATAAAGAAGCTATACAGTCACTTTGCTCAAGAATCAAAGAGGGTACACCTTGTTGAGAAAGGCAAGCAGAAACTGCTAAACCAGAAGGTCCTGCACCTACTATAATAGGCCCATGAACAAACACACACTTTGCTAGTTTATCTTCTTGATCTTTACAAGAACCCATGTAGTAAAATCCCAAGAAAGACTGAAAAAGATGATCAAAGAAAGTAAAAGTAGTGAAAAAGATAAAAAGAAAGAAGTTACTTTTCTTCTTAGCCCGTGTGTTGTTTTGGTTTCTTGGAGAAGATAATTTTAAAGAGAGAGAGAGAGAGAGAAGTGAAGAAAAGAAAGACTATATAATAAGTGAAGAAGGATAGTCAATGAGAAAGCGAATCAAGGCACAGAGCAAAGGCAGGGGCAGAGGCAGAGGCAGAGGCAGGCAGAGGCAAAAGCAGAAGCAGAAGTGTTGTATGAATATGGAGAGATTTAAATGCATAGAAAAGGAGAAGAGAGGTTTAAATGGCAGCGTGAAGGTAAAGGAAACGATTTGGTTTTGGTTATGCTTCTCAAGGCTTTGTTTCTTCCTTTCTCTGTTGCAGAGTTTTTGGGGGTGTAGTGTAGTAGGCAATGGCAAAGGAGGTGATATAAATACATTTATGTGACCTTTTACTTCCTTTAAAACCCACTTGCACTTCCTTCATCTCCTTTTACGCCCTATCCTTTTTTATTTGACTAAAACATCCTCCTCTTCTCTCCTATTCTCCCCCCATATTCTTCCTTCTAATTAACCATTGTTGTCTCTGTTTTTCCAGAGCTTTTCAATCTTCAAACTCAGATCCGTCCCTCAATTACTGACATTGATGATTCATCATTACATCTTCTTTATATTAGATACGATCTAAGGATTAAAATCTTTGCGATGATCATGCGTACGTGCAACGGACGCGCGTATACGGAGCGTGGGGATTTAAAAAAGCCTACTGAAATGCCACGTGTCCGCATAAAATAGTTGTTGCCTGGAAGGAAACAGACCGGCTACGTCCTCAGCCGTATGATCGTGGCCTTTGCTCCCTTATTGCCACGTGGCCTGCTCTCTTCATATTGATCATAATGATATTTTCTATAAGAAGAAGAACTTAGATAATTAAGATGGCCTGGCTATAATTTGCATGCGTGCTTGTAATTGTACATGTCGGCTGAGTTTTTTTTATCATGCCCGCCTTCGTGTAAACCATTATAAACTGCCATATCAGAATTACGAGATAAAATTTATGAGAAAAGGTTATATAAATATTACTAAATTATATGTTAGGAATTATTTCTTTTAAAATATACAGTCTCAACCAGTTTATTAAATAAATTAATGCCCCCGTTGAAACCCTGAATAAAAAATCTATTCCAGATAAGAGCAAGTATATATATATATTGGGTTGTTAAAGCATGAATACGCGATACCTTTGATCTCTTTATCTTGAGTCTTCACCTGTTGTCTTTTTAGATACCGAAAGGAAAGAAAATCGTGTGTCGGAAAGAAGGTAGAAGGAGGTGGGATTGTGGGAAGTGGGTAAATGTATTATGTATCGGCGTCACAAAAATTGATATATAAGATAGGCGTATCTGCTGGCTTTTTATGAGATAGCTTTCAAATTTTATCATCACTTCATTTATTTAATCTTTTAGGTTTAAAATATTTGAGTTGAAGTTGTCTTGAAATCACTTCTGATGGCGATTCATGAACCAAGTATATAATTTTTTATAGAATATACTCGAATAGAAGAGCAAAACTATGCAGCAGGCCGTGTGGTGGATAAATATAAAAGCGAAATCTTAAATTAAGTTATCTGAGAAGAATGAATGTACTGCTGCACACCTAGCTCTTCTTATTACTCTCTCTAACTTAATAAATTAATTTTTAGAGGTGGTTTGCTCGGTCCATGTGTTGCCAAATTCAATTGCTGAGGTTGGTAGGCTGCCCATATGCATATGCAAATGACGAAAAAGCAATCCAATGAACCTTTAATTGATCTCCTATCATATATTATAAAAATCAATCAGATGGATGTATATAGGTGTCCCAAAGGCTAATTAAAACCATACAACAAACACAAGTAGAGCTACATGGAGTCAATGTAGACACAAAGATCTTAACAACGTCAATCAAAGATTACGTTTCAGATATGGGGATCTAGTATCTACCCATTTTTCGCCTTCCTTGACCAAAATTTTCTATTCTTCAACGTACGCATATAGAAGAAATAGAAAAATAACGTAAAATGTTTTGTTTAAAGATCTAAAAAGGAAGGGAGAAGAAGCATTAAATAACTTAGGTTTGGTTGGTTAATATGCAAGTAGAAACTAGGGTTAAAATATGAAGCCAACTTTTGGACATATGCATTTAATTAGTTCAGCTGATAATGTTATGTGTGCATGCAGTAGCTATAGAGCTACAATATTAATTTTTTTCGAACCCCGACCTAAAGCACGTAGACCAAATTAATTATATAAATAAATTATTATTCCATTTGCCGCCCCTCTAGCTACTTTTTTTGTGACTTAATATATATATATATATTAAACTTTATTTGGATTATTTTACAAGCATGGTCCATCGAATTCGAATCTTCAGAATTGCACCAAAAGATGTGTTACCAACTTACCATGATATAATTAATTTTGATTCAATATATATTTTATTCAAAAGCAAATGTACTTTTGGTAGAATTTTCCACGACTATAATTTTCTTTTCACAATGCATGGGTGTGTAATGATGTTGGTAAATTAGTTACATTGTGATATCCAATTAAAAAAAAAAAGAACTATATATTATATTAGTATAATTATCATGATTCCAATATCCTCTCCCATATTGATTTTGGTAAAGTCATGTAAACTTATGTGAAAATTTTAGGATATTAATAATTAATTATTTTAATCTTTATGTTCGATCATGTTAGTTATGCAACTAATAAAGTTGTCGGGGACAAAACCCAAAATAATTCATAACAAGGGTTTACCGACAGAGATCACAATAAATTAGATGTCAATCAGCGTGATCAATTTACTAATTAAAAATTGTGTTATGATTTTACGTTTCACTTGTAAAAAAAAAAAAAATAGTAATATTTTTTTCAGTAAAAGGTGATTTATCAATTACCAATTAAAAATTATGTCGTTTACTGATTTAATGTTAATTTAATTGTAAAATCATTAGATTCCTGAATTAAGGAAATTTAATTGCATAATCATTTTAGTTTGTCCATCACATAATTTCAATCGAAACACAGTAAGTGGGTCCCCGGCTCCCCGCGTTGTGAATGTGGGCCATATCTGTAGATCTCGCACGAGTTAAAATTTTGACAGTCTTGAATACTGATTTACCGCGTCAGGTCTTTTAGACCCACCGGAGAAAAGATATACCATGGGGGCCCTGAGCCCATCTAAGCCCACCGTTTTGACACGTTACACTTATCATTAATCAAACATATTATATTATATTATATTTTATATGTACTCCAACTTTCTACTTTATAATTCAGATAACCATCCCAAGAAAATGGTAAACTAATAGAGTAAACGATTATACCCACCCAAGGTTTAGCAACTCAACCCGTTCCCACCCAGGGTTTTATGAATTCTAGACTCCCACCCCTAAATTATTAACAGTGTTAATTTTTTGGTTCTGACACAGTATATAGAGTATTATTATCATACTACCCTTAACAAATAAATTAATAAATTACTTTTAACCTCGAAATTAATAGAATTAGAAAAAATCATCATACTTTCAAATATTTTTCGATAACAACCCCTTTTTTTCCTTCAATTTTTATAGAAAAAACCGAAACCCTAAGTTGAGGTGGACGATGAGCGGCAAGCTAACAAGGTCAGATTGGTGGGGAGTTTTGGAGAGCAGACGCCAAAAAAATGATGGGTGGTGACAAGGGTTATTTTTTATGCTAGGATTGATCAGAAAAAGCTTGAGAAGTCGCAGAGCAAAAAGTGGTGGTGGTCGACGATTGACACAATAAATTGGTGAGGTGTCATAGGGGTTTTGATCTAAGGGATGATGGGAGGAAGATGGTGGTGTCGAGGAAGGCCAATAACGTCAGGTGTAGGCCAAAAATGGTTGTTGCGTGCAGTGGAGCTAGGTTGCAAGAATCGAGCCAAATCAAGGAAATGATAAGATGATGATTTGTGTCGATTTGGGTGAGAAGATCGATCGAAATCAATTCCAAATGGTTGATGGCGACGTCATTTTGTCGATTTTGAAATGAGAAAGGTTATTTTAAATTTTTTATATCAGATTTAATATTGTGGAAATGCAATTTACCCTTTTATAATTATAGTAAATGATTTTTTGTTTATTTAAATATGAAAATATGTAATTTATAAATCAGGAGTGAAAACTTACCATTTCTCCAAACCTTGGATAGGAATATGTCGTTTACTCTATATTAATTTGATTATTAATGAATCCTAAAACAATCATGATTGAAATCTTCAATTAATTATGATATCAAGTTCGTGAAATAATTCTTTCAAATATGTTAAACAGGGGAAATGATATTCAGTGTTAGGGATCTGATGTAGATATAAAAATAGTATATTATTATTAAAATAAATTGTGCGAATATAAATTGTGCAGTCTCTGGAGAAAGGAACAGGCAAAGGAGGGTACGGACTTATGATAGGCACAGTAAAGTATGCGTCATGGGCCGTGCGGACCCGGACGGAATAGGCTGATGTCACGTGACTCAAGCCCACCGTCAGTCAGTATTCTTTCTGCCACTCACGTGGTGCTGATTTCCTCCAACAGAATCTTAATATGTAATGCCTACGTAGGCCATGGCCATTCTGACTTTTGAAATGACCAAAACCGCCTTGAAACTATGACTCCTGATAACTGAAGTGACCTTTATAATTTTGTATGAGGATTAATGAACTTTGATTTGATGGTGGTGGCATTTTCGACCATAACTTGGACACGCGTCATCAACTCACTCCGTTTAGATTCCCAGTTATGGAAAGATTTGACTCCAGTTTAACCTTCAAATTTTTGGAGGGTTGTGATATACAGAAAGCTTGCAGATTTCTTAAATCAGGAGCGTTGAATCACCTAAAAAGAAGCATTACACGAATTACGAACCTAATCGGACGGCTGGGGATGCATCAGGCAGTTGTATTGACCGTTGTTTTCTATAAAAAGGCTGACAACCTTCGTTTGAATGTTAATTTAATGTGTTTGTTGTACTTGATTTCATTTTTTCGCCATTGCTGTTTTCCCCAAGGTGATGACAGCACAAGAATTTTGACCTTGGATTACGTCTAATTGCTCCAAATCACTTCTTCTTCTTGGGAAGATGAAAGCAATATTTTCATATTTTCTTCCTTTACAGATCCTGAGAGATTTTATAAGAGATTTACAGACCGGGGCGGGGCTGATATTGTCAAAATATATACTATTCAATGCAGACACATATTGGAAGACAAGAAATTGTAATGCAAAGTTTCGTTGATGCAATGATGATCGCGTGATTAGCATATGCGATAGTTGAAGGTTGAGGGCCTACC